CGGCATCGGCCTCCTCATCGACCTCCCTAACTTGATGAAGACCGGCATCGTCTCCCTCTGATTCGGAGGCCCCTTGACCTTCGAGTCGTGACGACACTCGGGCCACCAGATTGAAGGCTTCTACCTCTTTTTCTCCCTCGGATTCATCCCTCAGCTGATAAAGAGAACCCGAAGGTGGTGCTCGAGCGCTGGTACTTTCTTTGGATTTATGCACCAGCCTTCTCTTTGGTTTTTTCTTCACCGAGCTCGGAGAACTCGGACCCTTTTTTCTTTTCTTCTCTTCACTCTGTCTCGGAGCAGGGGACTCGGTGGGAAAATCATCGCTACCAGATGGGGGCCTCATTTGGACATCCTTGGATAAACCTGCAAAAGGAAATAAAACAAGTGAGAATTTAATGATGCAAAAGGAAAACCAAATATTACTCATGAAAGTGATCTCACCATGCGAACGAGCCTCCCATCTGCCCTTTAAAAGCTCGTGCCACGAACGCTCGGAATAAGGCCTTTGTGATACGATGCCTTCGACCCACTCCTTGAGTCGAGGAACTGCATTCAGGACCCGAGCAACAACTGCACCACCACAGAACACCGATAAGAAGGAAAAAAGCGATAAATTATATTTTGGAAGAAAAATTATACTTACGTGACATGTTTCACTTCTCGGGGAATGGCATGTGCTCAGCCGGGATCAAGTCTGAGGTACTCACTCGGACGAAACGGCCTAGCCAACCTCATGTCGTTTCTCGTCGTTTACTCTCCGAAAAATGGGGGGACTATCTGTATACAGTCGAAATCGAGCTCGCCTACGACATGGCAGGTTAGGCTCGGAACGTGACAACCAAAGACTGAAGATCGACCCCAAGCCTCACCGAGCTAGAACCCGAGGTATGAACGCCTGCCTTCGAGAATATTGAGTCCATAATCCCGGAGTCGACCTTAGCCCCGATTGAGCTCGAAAAAACATTGTTAACATAACCAACAGAAGACCGAAATATCCGTGACCGGTCGGATATTACGGCGGGAATCTCGGCGCGTATCAGTAAGGAACCGACAATCAGCTAATCAAAGGATTTTTACCTTTTATAGCATTGTACCTAAAGTAGGGACTCCCCTACTATATAAAGTGGGGTCTGATAATTCATTGAGGACACTGTAATACGCATCCCAAAGCAACATATTATTATTTTCTTTAAGTTCTTATTCTTCTTGATATCGATTGAAATATGTTCAGCTCGAGGGTGGCTAATCTTCCAAGGCTGAAACTGTTCAATTCGTGTGGTTTGCATATAGTTTATCATTATATATTTCAATTGCAATCTGATTTATCATTTTGTGTCAAGTTAATCTACGTATCCTTAAAACCACTTACAAATTCAATTGTTATCCGATTTTGAGGGAAAACAAAAATAATATATCAAAAATTTGGGTCCATTTTTGTAAGCTTTTGGACAGAATGAAACATAGTTTGTTCCAGATCTTATTCCTCCTTTCCTCTGTTTGAAGTTGAAATCAGAAGCATAAAGTTAAATTCATCATTTCCCTCTCATTTCCTTAGGTTCAACGTATCCATTAAATTCAAATTAAAGAGAAGGGAAACAAAGGAAATGCCAAATTGAATATTTCAAGGTGGCATTTCGAATAGAATTTGGTTAGTTTATTTTTTCATCCATTGGTGGACCTCTCTTATTCAATCAATCAGCTTCACAAGTATGCAAAAGAAGATGTAGTTTGAATTATTGAGAGCTTAAAAATCTGACATTCTCTCCTACTTTTGTAATCTGTTATCTATGACGAATTGACGATGACTACATTGGACTATGTTTCCCAAGACAGTTAAGGTAATAATATTAGTCTTTATTACCAAGAAAATCTCTACATGGACGTTTAAAATGCCAAACCCATTTTTTCTAGAAAATGTTGTTGTTACAACTATTGTAAGAATTCAAACTAAAGTTTTTTGGCCAGTCAAAAGAAAGGAAAAAAGGGCGGGGGTGGAATTATTCCACCATTATATTCTGGTATCAACTTTTATTGTTTTAGGATTGCTCTATTTAAATGAGCCCTACATAATACGACTTTAGATTAATGGGGACATCATTTTCGAATACCTCCACCAACCAACCAGTAAATTGATGATTGGAATTGTATGAAATGTAAATAGAAAACTATATTGATTTCTCATGAGGTAGGAAAAAAGGAAAATGAAGTTTGAAGAGTTTTCGAGACAACAGAAAACAATTGCTTAGTGAGTAGTGACTATAGCTATAATTTCATTCCCTATGGCACTGGGGTCGTTCTCCGATGAGCTTTCTGTCCTGATGTCATCTTCTTCGTCATAATTCAGCTCCTATAAGTTTTTTTTTAAAAAAAATAAAAAATAAAAATCAATGTCAACGAAAGAAACAGAACATGCCTTGTAAACTTGACTCAATGCGCTAAAAATAATTAGATTTCCATCAATTAAATAAATCAATTGTGATTGTAGAAGAGGATGCTAGTAAAATAATGTTCTACTTGCCTTAGGCTGATATCCATTCATTTTCTTTTCTTCTTCCTTCTCCCTGAGAGTTCGAATCGGAGAAATTTTCTGCTGCAATACCACCACCACAGTCAATTTGTCAATCAATCAATCAGTTTCCTCTAAATCTCAAATTGTCCGTTATTTAAATTCTGTATGTCTAATGTACCATACTCATGTTCATTTTAAAACATGCCAGCAGTTCTTTACATTATACACATCCTTACACAGCTACCTTGTTCAACCCACAAACAACAAAATTAAACAAGAACAACTTCAATGGGAAATTTCCTTACTCACTTCTTATTACCATCAAATTTTTAGATTTGTTTTTTATTTTGATTGCAAACACAGATTTGAAATTTTGTACTTTCCATTTTTGGTCAAACTAAAAGCAATCAGAAAAAATAAATAGAGTTACCATGCAGGATAATCTGAGCTCTTTCAATCGGAAAAGGCGATCGACTTCAAGCTCAAGCTCTTTCTGCAGCTCTCCTCTGTTGAACAACTCTTTCATCTGCAAATCCAGCATCAGATCCCTTTCTTTCAACATCTTCTCCGTCTTCTCTCTATCGATTCTCAGCCTCTCGAGCTTCTCACGAATGGCGCTCAGCTCCTCAGCTAATGATGAATCGAATGGTACTTCCGCTTGAATGCAGAGTACTGCATTTTCCCTTTTTGGATGGAGATTCTCTTTGTTTGAGTTTTGGGTTAGTGAGATTCCTATCAATTGTAGAGTTTTGGGCTTGGGATGATTATTGGGAATTGCCGGAGTATTAGTATTCTTGGGCTGAAGGGGTTTCCGGCCACTTTTTGGGCGGTGGATCTGATTGTCGGGGAAAGGTGATGGTGGAGCTGTGGATGCCATTTTTCTAATTTGGTTTTTTTCGAATTTGAAATGGTACAGGCGGACAACGACTACTTATAAAAACTTGTGTACAGACTTTGAACGTGGCTCCAGATCTTGTTTGTATTAATTGATGTTATGATTGATTTGACATAACAAGGCCCATTAGCTCAGTTGGTTAGAGCGTCGTGCTAATAACGCGAAGGTCGCAGGTTCGAGACCTGCATGGGCCACACTTCTGCCAACTTGCACTTAACTGGTTATATTTTTGTATGCACTGAGAACGTACAATGCTTAGTTGCCTACAAATAGTATTTCATTATTGCAAATACTCAAACAATGATTTGGCCATCAGATTTTGTAGACTATTGAAGTCATATGTGAATAAAGAGGAGAGGATAGTGTCGTAAACCTTGCATTCCAGCATCTCCTTGTTGCGCCGAAGGATGTCTTCCACCCATTTCCCAATAGCAAGGTGTGTATTGAACCTCGCCAAAGCCAGAATGAGGACAACTCCAAGCTGGAAGACCTTCATCAGAAGGTTTGGGGCTAACACAATTGTATGATCATGAGTCGATGATTTCAACAGAAGAACCTCTACCAGTGTTGGTAGCCTTGCTAGAGAAATTTTCGAGGATATCGAATTCCTCCTTCGTTGACTATTCCGTAAGGTGAAGCGAAGAGTCAGGAGACTGCCTTATTAGCGGAAAAGCACCAATCACTGGGAAATTGACTTTCAATTGAAGAACTTTGGTGTGCGGATTTTTTTTATCCCCCGCAATCTCAAGGTATGGATATGGAATTTCATGATCCTTGAAGTGCACCATGGTTGCTTGTGTAGACATGCAAAATTTATTGAATTTAAATTCAATAAAACCTTTGGACTATACTTTAAATATATGTTAGTCCAAATAAATATTATGGGCCAATATGATTAGGTTAATTATATTAGTCCAATATATATGGATTAAATAAATAAATCCAAATTTATGGGGCTAGCCAATTTAATTGGGTTAAGAGTGATGAGCCTACTTCATTAGGCCCAAGAGGTCCAGTTTGGTGCCACGTGTCAAATGACGTGGCACGTCCAGTCAAACAGAAGAGCCAATGGGATCACGCCACATGTCAAAATGACAAGGCATTCCAAATCAAATTGGAGGGCCAATGAAATTGTACCACATGTGCAAGTGACATGTTCTGGCCAATCAAATGCGGCCTTGTCACGCTTCAATCTGATTGGTCGAAAAGAATTTGTTCTCATCACAACTCTTCTATTCCACAACTATAAATAGGGGTCTTCATAACCAAGAAAAAACACCAGAAGTTATAACAAGAAGCAAGAAAGAGCTCGTGGATCAAACGCTGCAAATTCCTCCACAAGTTTCAAGCAATCAAGTTCAAGTTTAAGAAACCAAGTTCAAGAACGAAGAACAAATCAAGTTCAAGCTCAAGTTCAAGAACGAAGAACAAATCAAGGTTCAAGGAGTACGAGTTCAAATCAAAGTTCGTGCTAGTTGAATTCTAGATCATCATTCGTGACAACAAATATAGATTCAAGATCAAGCTCAAAGGCCCTTGAATTTACATTGGAAAAGTAGAATCAGATGATTCATAGAGATTGTACACTCATATTATTTGAAATAAAATACTACGATTGTTGCAATATGTTTTCGGTCTCGATTATTTTCTTGACGCAATTTATTGTCTACAGTTTGATATCAAAATCAAGTTGTAACTCTCCAGAACTGCAAACAAAAAGAAAAGAAAGAATGGAAGAGTTAGAAGAAATAAAACTACGCTGCCAAAAGAGACAATGCACGAGCAAAGTATTAAAAAAAATGTCTGTCAAGGCACTTAAAGCTGTCAAGGCAAATCATCCAAAATTCAGGACCATGTTCGAAGTATTATCTGTGCAAATCTAAAAAGCATCTGAACCTGATTTTTATGGATATTATAGTTCCAGAAGTCCTCTTTCCAACGGCGCAAGCGGATTGAGGTTTCAACGTGTCTGCAAAGAAATATGAATTTTTAAGTCAGGGCGTGCAGAGCTGTAAAAAGCAGAACTCCAGAAATCTAGTACTGAGTTCAAACAAGTATCTGTACAAATATACTTAGAATCTGGATCTGATTTTTGTATATATTGTAGTCCCAGAAGTTCCCTTTCCAACGGTGTAAGCGGATTGTGGTTTCAACGTGTCTGCAAAGAAATATGATTTTTTTAGTCGGGGCGTGCAGAGCTGTAAAAAACAGAACGCCAGAAATCTAGTACTGAGTTCAAACAAGTATCTGTACAAATATACTTAGAATCTGGATCTGAATTTTGTATATATATAGTCCCAGAAGTTTCTTTCCAACGGTGTAAGAGGATTATGGTTTGGATGTGTCTTGCAGAAAGATATGATTTTTTTAGTCAGCGCGCGCAAAGCTGTAAAAAATAGAGCACCCAAAATCCAGAGCTGAGTTCAGAAGATTACCTGTGTAAATTCACGGGGAATTTGAACCTGATTCTGGTGTAGATTGTAGTCTCGGAAAGTCTACTTCATGACACCAAAGACGGATTGCAATTTCAATATATGTGCAAAAAGATATGTTTTTTCTTGTGAAGACGCGCAAAGTTGAAGGATCAGTAACTGAATTCGAAGTTAAGTTTTGAAATTTGCCTAAAACATGGCAGCTACTTTTATATATGATGTAGCACCTGCAGCATAGTCCTGTTTCAAGAATTTGAGGTCGTACCTGGTCCTAGCACTTGGAAAAGAAATTTATCCTCACCAGAATGAAGCAAGGCGTTGCTGCGACGAATGATGTTACGCCTCCGACACTGCTATTAAAGGTGGCAAGTCTCGCGAGAATTGTGAAGTAGATAACTTAACATCAGTAGATGCCTAAGGTCTTGAACCAGCTGCATAAGTGATCAAGGCTATCAGTGTCTGCTCGATGAAGGCAATGTTCAGTTTATTAGCTAACGACATGAAAACTAATGACGCATATTGTGCAAGAACGGAGTCCAAATAACAAACATCTGGCGTGCAACATATTAACTATATAAGTTGGGCGTCTAATTGGTATTAGAACTACTTGCTACGGGGATATAGGAACTCCATCAAAGGTTTTAAGTAGCATTTAGCAAAGGAACAAAACTGAGCAATGATAATAAAGAATGCCAAACAATTTCGCAAAGAGAATCACCTGTCAACTGCTACCATGCAAAGAGGGCTGAATATGTATCTTAACAAGTTTGGATACATATTTATGCATCGTAATCTACCCTTTTATAGGCGTAGGAAAGCAGCAGGTAAACTCAAAAGAGGCGGGAATCGAAGGATAGGGATAACTCCATCGGAATCAAATTGAGGATCTCAACGGAAAAGATTTTGAGTAATCAAAAAGTTGAGGTCCATCTGATAAGTATGTGTTTTGTTTCATGATTAATGTCACGCCCCGACCTCGGGAGCGCCACCCGCGCTTAATCGAGATATCCCGGAAGTCTGTTAGATGCCTTCTACCCAATCTTGCCCATTAACAATATAAGAACTAGTACATGTGATAGATGTTACACCCTGTGCGTCCCAAGATGACGTAATGAATATGAGACTAGTTAATCATGATTTAAATGATTTTAAAGTCATAATATGGCTATATATGATGTTTGGATAGAAAATATGAAGTTTGGGAAAAATCGGATTAAAGTTGCGGAAAAATCGATTAAGGATTTGCCTTGTAACATATCTTTTTGAGAAATAAATTCCGTGTGCTATATGAGGTCTTTTTGGGACATATTACATATCAAATTGAAGGTCTTGGAATTTAGTTTCCAACGCTCTTAACCGAACATTCATACGACACCCGGATAAAAAGTTATAGGCGTTGGAAGAAGGACCAATGCTAGGGTGCCAAGTAGCATCTTTTGACTTTTCAAACAAAATGGATATTTATATCCTTATCTCGTTTCTTTCTTCAATTTTTCAGAACACACAACCAAATAAGACCCTACTCTTAAGCTCTCTGCAAGAGCTTCAAACAAGATTATCATCCCGGGCACAGAATCAAGCAATGATAACATTAAAACGATCCCTACGACGTAAGTATATCTAAATCGCCTCTCTTTTTCTGAGTAGTTTGAGTTTTGGAAGGTACTTCATAGTTAGAAAAATGCGTACTTTCTGTATTTAAGTATTTAAATATCAAGGAAGGTTGATAAATTCATTTCCTAATAGTTAGAACTCACGGGACGGTGATCGGAAGCCGTGAGTTCGAGTCATTCACTTGTAGCAGATTGTTTTGTGGATTTTTTTGTGTTGCTGTTGGGCTACGCGTTTTACTATTGTTTTGTGGAGTTTTGGAGGAGTAAGATTGTGGAGAAACACCACATAAATGCATGAAGTACCGCGTTATATACGCATTTCCTATGAAGTACCCTAGGTGTTTATTAATGTATTTCTTATGCATTTCATTTATTTATACATGTACATTGACCCATGACCAGATGGCGTTATATATGCGTATATTATATGTATATGGAATATGGTAAAAGGTTACCGCATTATATACGCACCACCACCTGATCAGCTGGTATACGTTGATGATTTCGGCTACAGTGGCTGAGATGATATGATGGGATGCCCTCAGGGGCTTGATGATGTTATGTACGCATATACTAATGCATGTTATGACATTTATACGCACATGCATGACATTATAAATATTTTCATGATTCATAAAGTTATTCAGACTTACAGGTTGAGTTCCTTACTCCATGTTTCTTTCATGCCTTACATACTCGGTACTTTATTTGTACCGACGTCCCTTTTGCATGGGGACGCTGTGCTTCATGCCCGCATGTCCCGATAGACAGGTTGAGAGTTTTCCTAGTAGGATATCAGCTCAGAAGAAGGTATTTGTGCACTCCACTTGCTCCGGAGTTGCATTTTTGGTCAGTATGATTTGAATATGTATTGATTAGTATAACGGGGCTCTGTGTGAGACCCCAGGTGTTTCTCTCTTCTCTTACGTAATATACGTAACGTGGCGTGGTTATATTAGGTATATATGATTGGGTATAGCACATTGGGAGAATAATACTGAAAATGTGTGGTAATATCAAGGAAATAAACTAAAGCTTTAAGTCAAAGGAATCCCTTAAACAAAGGTTCATGGTTAAAGAAATGGCTCGGGTAGCACCCCGCGCGTTCGGAAGGTTTAAGTTAACTTGCACCTGTGGGATAAGACTAAGAGTGTATAATATGCTAAGAATAATGTGTTATGAGGTATTATAATATCACACTGGTCACATGTTAAGTTTTGGAGTCAAGCAAGTTGCGAAATAAAGGTCGGCAAAAGTTATCGTAAATTTCTCTAATAAATTTTCTAAACTTTGGGTCAAATGTATCAGATCATTTCTCACATTATATAAAGAGTTATGGGAACCACAACCTACCAAATCGAAGGTCTACGAGTCTAGTTTGTAACCAAAGAAATCTCACATCAAACCGACATTGGAGTAAAAGGTTATGACTGTTTTACCGCGGA